GTAACAAATCACATGCCAATAGATATCTATTTTTATTTTTTACAAGAGAAGGAAGTCCAAATAGATACGGGTTCTTTGAGGAAACTCTCGCAGTTTTTCTGTGTTTTAAAATCATATCGATGCAGTCTCTTAATTCTGCTGTTAATAGAACCGGTACTGTTCGTCCAAGTTTGCCTCTCAATGTAAAACGTACGTATCTTCTGGCTATTTGTTTCCCATTTGCTGAAAGAGCTTTATACATTTCATTGCTTTGATAATCAATACCTTGATATGCTTTGTAATCTTCAATAAAGGTCCTTTGTATTTCTCCGGCTCTACGACGGTTGAATACTTGCACTGATATCATTGTTACTTTCATAAGTGTAAGCCATGCCTCGTAAGAATATGTATCTTTCAAAGAATCATAAGCAGCTCGACGATTTTCTTGCAAAAAGTTATGAAGTTTAATGATATTAGATTTAGAAAGTAAAATAATTTTCTTACGTCTTTTATTTTGATTCCATGTTTCAGATATTATTTTACTGACATGTGTTGCAAAGTCTTCCGAAAACACTTTTAAAAAATCTTTAACAAGTAATTTTTTATCATAATTTTTTTTTCTAATATATTGATTTACTAATATTTTTCCAAGTTCTTTCACTAAACCACCAAGTGCTGATGCTAATGACGGAATCTTATAAAACTTTCCACATGAAGATAAACCTGCCAATGTATTAATCGCTTCAATGCAGGCAGTACTATATCGTGGACAATAAATTGAAGCAAAATCTGTAATTTCGCATTGTGTAGTTTTCAATGTTTGAAGCAGGCGGCCGACTCTTCTTATTTTTTGTCGTATCATTGCATCATTATGCTCTGATATTTTATATTTTTCACACTGCTGATTCCCAAATGTAATTATTAACTCATCATAACGTATGAGACGTATGATATTATCTTCCTTTAGAATAGGAAAGGCACGTAACTTTAATATATTATTCTCAACTGGATGTATTCGACCTATTATTGTTCTTCCTAAAACAGATATTGCTCTCGTATCTTTATTTTTTACGCCAATGCACCTTCGAGAATGGTGTCTACTTGTAATTTTCAATACAAATGCTTTACATTTCGGACAAGCAATATAATCGTTACGCACGGTAATCTGTTATATTTTTTCTTAGAACATCTTTCTACAAGTAATTCACCATCGTTCCGCATATTGTCTATATTATAATAAAAATCGCCACGTCGTCGGATTGTTTCTAAAATTTTTCGTCGTTCTGCACATCCTCTTGGCAGATGTTTGAATTTTTGAACTTCTAGCTCATTGCTATGTACACGTTCAAGATGACGAGATATTTTGCTTTGAAACGTATTGCAGTACATATAAACATGTTTCTTCTTTCCTTCTTCCGTCGATAGGACAAACATTTCTGCATCATCTCGTGCACCCTTACCTGATTCGATTAATGTAGTTGATATATTTAATCCTCTAGACTTATTTGCGGAACTATCAGCTTTTTGAAAAGGAAGATATGTTGCGTGACCTATTTGTTCTTGATTTAAATTTTCATCAGATGAATTATTTGATGGTGTATACGAAGCATCCCCATCCCCAAAAATATTTTCGGATCTGTTTTGTATATTACTATCATTGTTCAGACATTCTAGAAAATGTAAGCATTTATCACTTATATATAAAACATAAATTATAGATGCAAAATATGTGGTATATAAATTTCATATTTTCAAAGTATTATAATAAGTATTTAAACTATCACCTTCTGCGGAAACATGTTCAAAAGATTCAACAGACTTTTCCGCATTTGAAACTTCTACAGCTTGACATTGTAATATATTGTTAGTATCTGCTTCATATACTTGTAATGTATTGCCACTCCAGTGCCAGAGGCTTGAATGTTCCGACTGTATTTCTTCTATAATACCTAATCAATGAGCAATAAGCAAATACAAAAGTTAATATAATACAAAAGTTAATATAAATTAATATAAAAATAACTAAATTATAGTAAGCGTTGAAACAGATTACATTCCCAGATAGATAACTGACGCCGAGTAAGGTTATATTGACGGTATATAAAATGCATTAATGGCAAATTCTCAGTATGTCGTGTATATGCCGTCAATATGGCGCTTTTCGGCGTCAGTTGGGTAATTTATCATCACAGATAAAAAATTATATATTTCTTATAAAACCTTGACTTGAACTTTTAATATTCCTGTTACATGTTGCTGACTGGCAATTTGTATCTGTTATTAATATTGTAGATTCTTGTGTTGAGATATTTTGAACCTATCCTGCATGATCTAACATATAACCATTAACATTTCTAACGGTAGATACATCTTTGTTTTCCGCTATATTATTCACGATATTACATATATTCCCATTAGTATCTGGTAAAATATGATCAAGTATAATTTTAGATAATTTATTGATCATTGATTTTTAAATAATATTCAATATATCAAACCTTGATTTGAATCCGGAAGATGTTCTTGCATATTACATGTTGCTATTTGGCAATTTGTCTCTGTCGTTAATATTATCGGTTCTTGTATTGGAGAATGAACATATCTTTCATATTCTAACACATGACAATTATTACTTCTAACAGTTGCTGTATTTTCGTTTTCTGCTACGTTACTTGCAATGTTACATTCAATCTTATTAGTATCTGGTAAAACCCAATTAAGTATAATTTTAAATAACTTATTAACTAATGATTTTTACAATGCCAACGATTTTTTTAGTATAACAAACCTTGATATGAATTTTCAACATCCTTTTTTGCATCACATGTTATTATCTGGCAATTTGTATCCACTACTATTTCTATTGGTCTTTGTACTGAGAAATTATCATTTTCAATATATTCTATATTGTTTAATACACGACTTATGTCGTTTATAACGGCAGTATTATTTTTATTTTCTATTACATTGCTCAAGCTTTGTTTATTTTTATTAATATTTAGTGAATCACGTGTTGTGCCCCAAGGTGGTGAGACACGCTGAGTAGATTCGGGATCGGTGGGTCGAGGATGCAAAGGCGGAATGATGTAGTTTGATAAATAAATTTAATGCACTTTTATGT